TTATAGACAGCTTTGTCAGTGATGTGACAACTGTACACACTACTCCGGGATTGGTAATATAGCCTATTGTAGAATCGATTTCAAAATATAATTTATTCAATAAAGTAGAAAATTTGAAAACTTTAAAAGCCAACGTTAAGAAACTACAAAATTAAATTTTATTTGAAAGCTACCAGCATAGACAACCCAATACCGCAGGTTTTTAACAAATTCAACATTTACATATTGAATGACGGGAATTTGAATTCAAAAAAAAGAAAGTATTTTGTTATAAACGTTAAGTATTTCTAATATATGATTTCCTTTTTCATTTCGTTCAATACTAGATCGTACACTTTTCACCAAGAATATTGTTCAATATTTTACCTGAATCGGACTTTTATGCTATATACACATATATGTATCACAGGATGTGACGCTTCATCGAAGATCGTTCAGACTTGTGTTAATTGTGCTCCTGGTCCTAACTGCCATGACTACTACCAAAGTAACGTAAACAAAAGATTGGAAACCAACTGTCTTACCATTAAAACTTCAGGTTCGTTTTTAAGTTTCCTTATTTACAGACCATGTTAGTAGTACCTTTGATCTTTATGCATTTATCATCATTACACAGTTTACAAGGATAGGCATTGTGTCACCGTATGCACATAAGGACGCATAAAACATAAGACATCGTATACAGCTTACACTGGATACAACATACCACAAGCTGTATAGGACAATATGCTGCATATCGCTGTATAAAGCTTAGCTTTGTAGAATAACCAAAATGGTGACTATGACCACAACCACGTCAACGACTACGCCAACGACTACTAACGATTAGTACTTTTACGATGACATTATCTACGAGTAAGGCTATGATTATTATTATTATTTCGACTACCCGCCGAGGACAACAACAACTTTGGTCACGACTAAGACTAAAACGACTAGTACGATTAGAATTTCAAGCGAAGACAACGACAACCACTAACACAAAATCAATAGGAATCATTTTCTGGTCATCATTTACTTTCCTACTTGATATGACGACCCATGGCAAAACATCATTCCTTTTTTGGTAAAAAACGGTTGCTTTGCTGTTGTTTTGGTCAAAGGAAAGCGATCTTGATTATTTACTGGGGATTTCCCTACCAAATCAGTCAACTATAAGACAAGCAAATCACGTTGCCTTATCTGCCGTGGAGCAGAAGACCAATATAAAGACGGTATTTTCTAGTATATCTTTTTAAATATTTAATTATTTTACATGGGATGGAGTGCGGAACAAGAAATCTATATAAAATGTTTCGTTGGGGTTAACTAAGTATTTCTTTCTCAGATTCAAAGCGCTTGAGTTTTTTTATGTTTCAAAATAGATAAAGAATTATTTCAAAATCTATTCAATAACGAATTAAAACAGTGCTAGGTGAATGATTTCTTCTTTCCCCGGTATCATTGTTTTTATCTCAAGCATTCGATTTTGATGCATTTCAACTGACCAAAGTAATCATGAAATACCGAAATAATTTATGAATTGGAGCCAATGTTTGAACAAAGAAAGTCTTTTTGAAATCGAAATTATGGTACCGGGGAAAAACTGATTCGCTTTGCACTGCTTTAATTCGTTTTTAGATAGGTATAATTTGAAATTGAATTCATGTGGTATATGTACTTTTTATTGCTATAGATAGTGACAGTACTATTGTCCACTACCATCGAATTTACAGCTCCTGCAACCGAACACAATGCTCTCAAGTTCGTCAAGAAATCGGAGAACTAGTATACAGAGATTCGTGTAATATCGGTAAATATCTCGTACGAATAAAACCCATTAACTATATTGGCCTATACACGTATTGCCAATAATATTATGTATCCAATATGGGCACACATATATAGGATTGTTGAAATATTACCCTTATGGAGAGAACATATTATATTCAGATGGGTTTCTTAATAAGGAAAAGGTTGAGTGCAGGTCCCGAGCGACGAGGGTCCTGAGCACTGAGACAACGTTTGTTCCTGATTAGATGAATCAAAGGAAATAAAGAACATTCGAAACTATATATTCCTCGAAATCCTCCTGGTAATATATTTTACTTGAATAAAATAAGGAAGACATATATAAAATCATGATTTCATTGATCACTTGTAGCATAATGATTTTAAAAGTAAAATATTTACATACAGCGAGAGCGAGAAATAATTCTATGGTAGTTATTGGTATATGTGAACAATACATTTGCAACTCTTGCCCTAGCATCCATTCGAATGAGACCCAAGTTTTTAAGGTTTGATATGCACTGGGCCACACGACCAGCAAAGATCTACTTACTATGTTTTTCTGTATACATGACGATGTTTCATAGAATTATACAAAATTTGAGTTTTCATTTAATGAGCTCTACATAAAAAAGAAGATATCCTTGTATTAGAGATGTTGTTTGTTGGAGAGACTTCAGGTGTATTTGATTATTATGGAGGATGCTGATTGAAAATATTGATGTTTAATTCAATACTGTTAATGATATACTGTCTGTCAAATGTAATTTTATGTGGTATACACCCATTATACATCTATGACGAAATATAGGTGCTATGATAAGAGTTCTGATGAATTCTTCATATTAAAGGGTATAAAGCTATATGTTATGAATTATGTTTATAAAATGAATCAACAGTGAAATTCTATTGATGCTAAAACTTAATGGTTAATACACGATAGTGTCGGATATTGAACATAAACAGAATAATACTTTTTTTTAAAATGTATTGTCTGTAAACAAAGTACAAGGCAAGATTTGAATATATATATAAATGGTGGACCTGATAACGTCTTTGTGATTATTACGCGGCACCTGAACATAACATTATACTCCATTTGTAGGCAACGTAAGGATCTAAGCAAAACTATCATTGGCACGTTACTGCTAATGAATAATAAGTATTTTTCATCATTATTACGTTTGTTTAGTTGTGTAAACTGCAGACTATATATATATATATCTTTATACACTTGATACTCTAATTGATTGGTGCTTTGTTAACAATTATAGAATCAAATGTCTATTCTCGAGGGGTTTATGTGATATAATTTGCCTGTTTCAGAGTGTCAGAAATTCGAGATATTTCAGTTAGATGACGTCGGCGGATCTTGCGACGTCATACACACTGAAGAAGGCGGTCTAACGTTCCATTATTGTATCGAGAAATGTCTTGACATGCCTGGTTGCAGAGGATCAACTTTTACTTCCTCTACGGGGAAATGTGAATATCACAATTGTTCAAATCGTACGACGTCACCGGGTCTAAGATTTATGTGGAAACACTGCATCGACTACGGTATGTCATTACTGAGGAAAATACCAATTTAATGACTTTTGTTAAATAATTACCGTAACAAATTAATATTCAATAAAAAGAAAATACCACTTTTATGATTTTTTTGTAAAATAAATACATTAATAAATAAACAAAAATGAAAAAAAATAAACTTCAGTGATCTTATAAAGTCTTAGGTGATTACCAAACATGTAATAATAAAAGAGTTTAAAAGATAAAATCGATATCTTTTATCATTTTGAATATTATTATTTAAAAACAATTTGAGATTATGGTTCATAACTTCGCTTTAAACTGTGTGTTTTTTTTGTTAAAAAGAGCCGCAAAGGGATTTTCAGCAAATTTGTGATGGTTGTGACATGAGTGATTTGTGCCAGAAGCATGCTAATGCACTCGTTCCCCCCTATCCGTCCTGGGAGACATGCGAAGTCCAGTTCCAAAGTTCTGAAAGTCGAGATGTTATCATGTACAGAACTTACACCAACGGCTGCTTCCTGATGAACTGCACGATGGTAAAACAAGACAATTTAATGTCTAAAAGGGTGTTTAGGAATTCGCCTGCCTCTGGTAATATCACAATTATTACATTTATGTAACGTTCACTCGTTTTCTATTGTTAAAATGTTTTTTCCCTTTCAAAGAACTGTTGTTTTTTTTTCGTTTCATAGTAATTCTTTTTTCTTTTCAAAGTACTCAAACTATTTTACTTTAAAAGTTCTCCTTTTTCAAATTAATCCTTATTTTTGTTTTTAGAAGTTCTTCTATTTACATTGAGAGACTTCTTGTTTGTTACAAAGAACTCCACTTTATGTTTGAAAGAACTCCTGTTTTCGTTTAAAAAATCTCCAACGGCCATGTGCTCATATTATTGTATCAAAGTTCCTATTCCAGCGCAACATAATTATACGACAAAATCTCTCGTTACCGCGGAAGCCTATTACAAACATAAGGCACACACACAAGTTCTATAGCATAAAAATATGATCAGAAAAGTTTCATCTAACGTGTCCTGAATAGTTATAACTTTTTATAATTTAATCAGAATTTTAAATGGTAGGCACTGTATTTGAAAAACCCTGATTTGGATGGACATTTAAATTTTAAACTGTGCATGCTTTATTATTGTACCTTTTATTTTCAGATTGTCCCATATTTAGACTTTTTACTCTAAATGGATATATTGGCACATGCCAAATTATTGGCTTTCATGAGGGAGGTGTTAACTTAGATTATTGCATTGATAAATGCCTGGACATGCCTTACTGCCGAGGTGTCAGCCACGATGCCACACAGCTAAAGTGTTTCTATCATAACTGCATAGAAAGAGATGTGAACGCATCGTATACATTTGTTAAGAGAGTTTGCATGACCTTCGATGGTAAGTTTTATACTTATTCGACTGAGACACACACAGACATACACACACACACCTGTATATAAAAATACAAGTTTAGATTTCTTTTCTCTTCTTTTTATAATATGTATTGCTTTACAAACACTGAAAGGGAATTGATAATTTGTTATGCTAAACACTGACATAGAGTTGATTGAAGTATATGCAGTTAACGCCTTACAACATTTTTTTTTCTGTTGACCACTATCGGTATGTACCTTCCAAGTGTACAACGTGTACATTCTTATAGCACTGGCGATCTAGGCAATTTGGTGAAACGACACTTAACATCACTTTCAGATAAAGAAGAATCGAAGGTATTCCACCTACCAAATATAAACTGTATCAGTTGAATGCAGGGATATGAATAAACAACCTACATAACAAAGAGTTATGGTTCATTAACACCACACCCCTCTCACTTACCTCAAATGTGAATAAAAAAAAAGCTTAACCCGGACTTTCTTTTGGAAGTATCAATAGAAGATAAAATTCGGAAATTAAGCAAGCATTGGCCATTATGGTTGTAAGTGCCGTTTTTTGAAGACAAAAATGTGAGGTATTGTCATTACCGACTTAGAATTAGGCATTGGCATACGTTTTTTTGTTAAGATTTGGTTATGGTCATCAACTTCAATACTTAGGCATTACATAGAAGTACATTGAGGTGTTCTGCCTGTCACACTCATGTTTAGGTTAAATGGTAAAGGTCACTGTGATTGATAATATATAAAGGTCAATTTTCTCAGAAAGTTTAAATATATTTATTTTAATATTGGTGTATTGTATATTATTATCATGTGATGCAACTTCACAGGGGCTGATAGTCTAAAGTAATATTTTCCCCTTTTCCTTGGATAAGTATTTTGCCCTGGGTAACTTTTTTGTTAGGATTAATTTCTCAAAAGGTATCGAAGATATTAATATAATATTTTGCATACTTGTTTAATACAACATTTGAAATGCATTTTTAAAGGGAATATATCTCTGCATGGCGTATTAGTCCAATAACTCAAAACTGTTTTTCTATAATCTTTATAAACTTTTCTCAAAAACTATCAGATATATATTCACTTCAAACTTTAAATACTTGTTCAACTTAATAATAAAATGCAAAAATTGCAAACAGTTTATCAGAATTGTGCCCTCTTTTCTACTTTGCTTGTATCGTGCAATCAAGTACTGAAAAAAGTGGAGCACGCTACACATTGGACAACTCTTGTAAGACACCATCCTTCTAGCATTATGCGAGCTACTAGTCAAGTTTTCAAGTTTTCCGGACAAGCATTATCAAGCTGTTTTAGGGGAAATCATTGCAATTTAAGTAGAGCGATCGTTCTTTGACCCTTCTTTTTGGTATCGGATTATGCAATTTTGTAAAGGTTCAGGTTATTAGATAGTTAATACGTTATATTTCGGGTAAATGGGTATCATTAAATATAAGCAAGGTAGCATTTTGGCTCTTACACTTACCCTGACTGTTCTTTTATCATTTCCCGTCATCATTTTTTAAGTTATTCTCCGGACTAGACTGTGATGGACGGACAGTCAAAAGTTTTTTTTTTATCTTTTATCCATGTTAGCCGCATTAATTAAACCCTTATAAAAGAAATTACATAAAGAAAATGTATCATGCCTTTTATTCATGTGGCTACATTCACATACCATGCTTTCACCTTCAGGTAGCATATATTTTGATTTAACATCGTAATATCTTTTTCTTCATAGAGCTGGATCCTGTTAAACCATACGTACAAACGATTAAAAATTTTGTTGATAATTGTGGTCTTCCGAAGTTTGCAATAATGACGGATACCAATATTACATCAGCCAATCTTTGCAATACGACATGTAGTGAGTGCGACGTTACTGTATACAACCCAATAAACGAAGAGTGTCATCACAGCCAGTGCGACAGACCATATGGTCTCGGGCAAGGAACTACGTTATTACGAAAAACAAATAATCCAGGTAAAATTACTTTAACTAATCGGTTTATAAATTAAAACAGCATCAAGCTTCAAATAAAAAATTACATTCTAAGGGAACAGGTGGGGCCTTTCCTGTTTTGGAGGCTTAAGATGCATTTCAAATAACTAAAAAATACTTTTTTATAGAAGCGGTAAACCGTTGAGTTGTTTTATTCGAGGATGCATGACATGCATGCATTCAGGACATTAAATTCCGCCATCATTGGAACTACAAAGACCGAAGGCAATTGCTTTTCACACCCTCTTACAAGCAAGCACAATTGGCAAATATCGACCTAATGGCAAGATATTGATATTCTCTCAATGTAAAATCATCAATTATAAAAATGCCTAAATAAAGTGCCGACCATATTGTTAAATTTCAATTTAAGAATTCATCCGAAATACTTAACGAGTTTAACGCAACTGCAAATGTTTGTTTCTTAGTTATAAATGCATACAAAGTTGTCAGAATGTTAAGTTTCAAATACTGCTCATGTCATAAATTATTACGGAGTTTCTTATATTTTATTATTATACATCAACGGGCACATTAAGATTGATCATGTTTATGAGTGTCAGACATATTTTCATTCATAATTTTACCGAAATAGACTATATATTTCTTCGGATGTTAAAAATATACATTCTGTCTACATTATCAATTATAACACTGGCTGTTTTTGTTTACATGTAAAACCACGTGGTAGAACTACTTTCAATTCTTCATTAGTCCGAGAATATTGGGAATTATAGCCGAGATGTGCCTATTGATAGACGCTAAATTGATATTGAATACAGTAATGTTTTAAATCAGATAAACGCGTGGAGTAAATGCTAGAAATCATTGGTTTCATTTAATATTGTATGAAAGAAATAAAACTAGCGTAGGAATTAAATAAACTAGAAAAAAGTATATCAACTGATAAGGATTTTATACGTGCCCTTATCACCGAAAACAAATATAATATATAATTACATTATAGAATGCCTACACTTAGAAATGAAAACAATAGCTGGTAGTGCTCCGAATTGTGAAGCTTTCGAGTATGACGAAGGTGTGCTCAACGTGGAATTTTGTCTCCGGCGGTGTTTGGACCTCCCGGGTTGTTTCTCGGGTTACATGGATAAAACAGCTTTTAACTGCACATATCACAGCTGTACCGACTATGTCTCAAAAAATACTTTAGATATTTTTTCAATCAAGAACTGTTTTACAGGTTAGAACACATTATTTAATTTGCGACTTAAAAACAACTTAGAAATACATATACGAGTAATCAACAGTTCCAATGAATTATTAAAGAAAACAACCTACCTAATGATTTATGTTGTAAAGGAAACATTTATGTGCTACTTTTACCGATTCATGTACTGATTTACATCATTATCGTTATTTTTATAATGTTGTGTCTAGAAGCAAAAACATTTTTGTGCTTTCAAAAAAATCCAACAAAAATCTGTAAAAACGCTATCGATATATTGTTTAGACTGCCCGTCTCCAACGACACAGACTTGTTTAAATTGTAAACAAGGATCGTTGTGTCAGTCGTTCTACTACAAGATGACAGCTTCAAACTCAAGCTCCTGTAAATTGTTGTGCGATTCAGAAACTTTATGCAAGGGGGCTATATATGACAGCAGTAGCATGGAATGCCAGTTATTTGATTGCGCGTATGCTACACAGCAATATGGCTCAATATTCTACAGGACATCATGCAATGATGGTAATATTTATGTTATTTAACATTTAACTGTACAATTACGGAATATGTTTTGACGTGTACAGAGCTTGAGAAATCATATTTTTGGAGGGACCTGCCTTCCAGTTTTTGTACTTAAAATAACTTAATTCATTAGTTTTCATCAAAATTATTTCAAAGAATTTGCGAGGTTAAGATATGATTCTGATTCTTTTGTCTTTAATGGCTTATAATTGATGAAGAATGAAAATTGACATTTTGTCATGTATCTGATCACATCTTGAATGCTGCAATTAATATCGAATGTAAATATTTGATTAATTTTAATAACTTTAATAAAAACGCAATAATGCGGTAATGTCACATTATTTGATGAAACAGAAATATAGCATATGTGACTTTATTTGGAATTAGAAAGGACGAGAACATATATTGGAAATATAATAAGCACGTATTGAAAGTAAAATGATAAATCATGTGGTTTCTATGAGATAATAGCTTTTATTTTTTAAAAATCTATACAACATTTTTGATTTTTTTTTCCAGATTGTCCAATATATGAAATATACATGATAGAGGGATATGTAGGAAGTTGTGATATAATACCGTCCATGACAGAGTATCTTGTAAACTATCCAGAACTTTGCTATGAGCGTTGCTTGGAAACGGCCGAGTGCAGAGGTGTCACATATGATCCCAAAAAGTTGCATTGTTATTATCACATATGTGACTGCCATCTAGCGTCCACTAGGGTGCCTAGCTTTAAATTTATGTGGAAGTACTGCTTAGAAAGTAAGACATATCGATATTTCAGTAAAATACTTAAGTATATCTGAACAAGGCAAATGTTTTTTCCTATGATAGACTACAAACCAGGTGCTTGATATGTTATTATGAAATGCATGTGAATGTAAAATGCACTGTGATTATTTTTCACGTTGCATCTGTTGTTGACAATTTTAAACACATGAACTAAGGTTTCTTTCGACATTTGGCCAGCACAGACACATATGAATACAAAACACGCTAGTAGTTCGTCACTTTGTTTTACATATTCCACAAGCGACTAGCCGGTGCTAGGGGTCGTGGATAATAGCTTGTATTTACTAGTACTATCCATGAAAAGACTCAATCGACTCAATCAAACTGCGCATGCAACATTCTCAGGTCTGCATTGTTTTGGACTTATTTATATTTTTCTTTATTCAATCAAAACAAGGTCGGGACTTTGGGTATCTGTTCAGACAGAAATTTTTTATGTATGAATTAGACAGCTATACTATTTGTATAACATCATCAGAAAAATATAAATCACAATTATCTTTTCAGACGTATTAAACCGCACCATTCTCCTGCAAACCAACCCTACATTAAGTCCAAGGGCTTATCCAACGTCACCCGTATGTAAACCAGAGCCTATCTATATAATGCCGTGTCAGTGCAGCACTGGAGCCTTTGACAATTTTACGACAGAAGAAATAGTTCAGCAACTAGAGCAGAACCTAACAATAGACGCACGTTCCACTTCCGCCAATACACGGAAATTAACGTCTGCCGAGGATAACCGACCAACATCGGTTGCTGTTGGTAGGTTTCTGATATTAAACTTATTATCTTATACTGTCATTATCTTAAACACCATGTATGTTGTAGTTTATTTGATCTAAACCGGAAATCATTGACATATGTACCAAATTTTTAAAATTACCTATTCACAGTTCTCAAAACTGTATACGTAGTTGAAGATTAAGTTGAAGTTGACGTAAACTTAAGATTTGTTATCATTTTATTGTCTTAAAATACGTCAGATACCTGTTATTATTATGATCTGTGCAAGAATGAAATATCTGATTTCATCTCATTTCAGGTACCATTGGCGTTATCTTGCTCTCTAGCGTAGTGGCATTAATAATTGCTTTGGATATTCCAAATCTATTCAAATTGCAGACACCAATAAATTCAAAAACAAAAAAAATCAAGAACAAGAAGAAGAAAACTAAAAATGTTGACGAAAAAGTAGACACATCAAAACAACTTCATGTTGAAAATATTGACTAAGTTGAAGTTTCACAAGAAATATGTGTACAATGTCTTGTTAAGATCTTTAACCAAACTTAACAATGTGAAACGTTTTCATGGTAATATCCTTTTAACAAGGTAAACTTTACTTTAAGTAACGAAGTAGACATACTTGTTTACAATTTTGACATAATTATATTTTTTTCTCCATGGTTTAGGAAAAGTTGATATGATGCGCTTTTTTTTGTATAAGTATTTGATAGATTTTCCCACCAAAGTAAAACTTTTCAAAATGGGCTTTACGTTTTATTTATATTTTGCGTATAATGTGATATGTTATATATTATTTCTGCCAAACATACACTTGCGTAAGAATCTGAAATACCTTAATTCAACTATTAATTTTATTGATATTTTTTTGACAAGTTTACTGAAGTTTTCAATGGAAATAGATATGCTTTCATTGATGTTTTACAGTGGTGTATTACAACGAATTATCACACTCTCAAATCCAAATATCATTTAATAATAATCTGTTTTTTAATTTATTGTTATCATAAAATAAAGTAGATTTTATGAGACCAACATTTATACCCAACACCAAACTATCAGCGCTATGAATTGGAAGACTTTAAGATGTATGCATGCATTAATGTGCGCGCACACGTACGTGCGTGCGTGCGTGCGTGCGTGCGTGAGTGAGAGAGTGCGTGCGTGCGTGTGCGTGTGTGTGTTTCATAACCTTCCTATATTTAAAGCATTATTCAAGGTGACATTCTGCCCAAGTAATTGTAGATGGTGCGTGTACATGTAAGTCAATAATTCATAAATCATAGTTGTTTTTTTACATTTATATTTTGCTTTGCAAAAATGATCAATAATTCACGCAAATTTACTTTGAAATAGTCATATGTTTAAATATATAGGCCAATCACCTCAACGTAACAATAAATATATGAACATAACATCACTTCAACTTAATCTGAAATGTCATTTTTGTTTGTTTTGATATCATGTCTTGTCAATTGTATCATTTTACAAAATCAATGCATGCGAAATAAACCGATAAATACTCTTACGAAACCCTCACATTTCTTGCTATTATAGTAGAACTCAATTAATTATTATTCCTACATGTGTATTTTCTATATTGTATTAATTTGCATAATATTGATGTATGTACTATTCTTTGCACATGTTTAAGTATTGTTGGTTAAAACAATAAACAGAGTATGGTATGGCCATTAAACACAATTTGATAGTTTCTTATTCCTCGCGTGGCTGTTCATAAATACAGATACACACTAACCTCAAATAGTGTTATCTGTTTCAATGTTTATTGCAAATTTAAGTTTTTTTCATGTTGATTATACACCATAATCACGCAATTTGACGGTGTTGCTATGTCATGTGGGGGTTGCGCTCATTGAACGTGGCCCCTTTTTTAATCTTTTCATATTTCCTTGTTAACTAGCCATGGATTTGTTTTGAGATTTGCTTTATGCAAGTTAGAAATAGGGCTACATAACATTAATAGCAGATAATTAATACAAACTGAAAATATCTAATTCTTTAAATCATGAGACCTTGTTATATATCTTGCGTATTATCGTTATTTCCCTTCTTAAAATGCGCATGCCTCGTCAGGTTTTTGACATGTTAAATTCATATTTGCACCATCCCTGCCTATTTATCATAAACAGCTCATATTTCAATTGTTAAAGAAGAAAAAAATGAATATATTATAGAAAAATATAGTGGTTTAAAAATGAGTAATTTCCAACATGGCATTAAGCAGTCAAGAAATAAGTTGTTAACAAAGAAATAGAGTCTTAGTGTCATATATTTAGCTACTAGTATTATCACTGTTAAAATGTTATGTCGGTGTCGTGAATATCAATTTAAATAATCTCTTCATTCAAGGACATTTGAATTGAAATACTGCTGAATTATTGAAATACATTTCTGAAGTTCTAGATGTTTGTTAACTAACTGCGATGACTTGGCATAAGATACAAACGCAGTCATGTGGCTGTTTACAATAACAATGTCGTCGACCTTTGGATTTTCTGCAAAACAGATTTCTTCAACCGACTGTAGCATTCTCTCAATTCCGAGTAAGAATTGTTCACATGGAATCTGAAAATCCTTGCTGTCCATTATGTTATGTCCTTTGATGAAGATACTAGGAATATGTAATTTGAATTTTTCACCCCGCATGAAGAGGCGAACCAAACGGCTGACTTCAATTTTTTCCTCAGTTTTCCTGTTGAATAGATAGTGAAGACATACTGCAACAAGCTGTTTGAAACAGACTGCAAGGTTAGCTGTTTCTTTACAGTGATAACCATGCTTTAGTACAAGTGTTTTAAAAACGTATGAGGATAAGAACGTAACCCCTCCGCCACTATTGAAAATAAACTTCAATAGTTTATAACAGTCTTTGTGATGAGTATCTAGACAACGGACAAGATCTACTTCCGTCTCTGTAAAGGTCAGTCGGAAACAAAGTGGACAAGATGGTCCTTGGTCGTGAGTCAAAACTAACATAAACTTACCATGTTTAACAGTTTTGTTGAGAACATCTGTATGGAATGTGTCATTTTCATTAATTATATCGTCGTTTAAGTCAAATTCAATTGCTGGGGTTATGTCCACTTTTATCGTTCTTTTACGTTTTTGACGAGTATAAGGCTCCCAGAGAAAGTGCTGTGTAAATGCCGGTCCGTTCTTTTGGACGCGTTTATCAATGCGCATTAGTCCTGTTGTTGTTGGGCATACGCCAACGTCTGATACACTTTTTGATATTTGTGATACTTCGTACATAAAGGCATTGCCTAGGGTATCAAAATATTCTGGTAACATAACTGCAAATCCATGTGTTTTAAAATAGGCTTGCAGATAATCTCCCCGAAGCCATTTGCACCATCTCTTTTTTAAATCAGGATCTGTGACTTTAATATGGGCATAACCTCTATCTTCTTTACATACTCTCTCGACCTGCATTCCATTCTGTTTATAAATAGCAAGGTAGTCGAATTCGTCCGGAAATACAATACTTGTTCTTTCTGCCATACTACCTACTTTTAAAAGTCTTGAGAAAGGAAGCCAATGTACTTTTGAGGTCACGTGCCCTAAAATGATCGAAACGAGTGTTTCAATGGCACGTACTATGTCAACTGTCTCTTCTCTAGGTATCTGAAAATTTATTCGCTCCTTTAGTAGATCGCGAAAATAGTAGGTCAGTTTACAATTCTTTTCTTCTTCTACAACGTCACTCTCTTTATTTTCCGCCATCGTTTATAATTCCAAAGTGTTTTCTAAGAGATAGGTATTGCTTTAACTTGAACACATTATCCACTCTTTCTGTTTTGACCTGAAAATGTTTTTTTTTAAAAGTTTTAAAATATATACAAATACTTGTTTGAAAAAAAAAAGATTTGAAAATGTATATAACTACTTGGTTACAAGATACATAGATTAAAATGTTCGCAATTTCTTAGGTATGTGCCTACATTGTCACAATGTATATAAAGAGCATGGCATTATTTCAAGTATAAATGAAAAAAATTACAATATCTTTACGTTGTTATTATATTTTTCAATTTTATATTAAAATTTGTAAAACAAAGTCATTAACTAATGCGTCTTGAGAAAATGTCTATAAATGTTCTTAATTTTTATTTATTTATCAGTAACATTCACTTGATCAAAAGACTAGGACAGTCTCTTCGCATTCTAAGCAATTTTCATATTTTATCTTAAAAATTATTCTTTGTAAAAAATTTTATTATACAGCTCATCTTGACAACGAAAATCATATTGTGTCTTTTAGAAAGTAGTCCTCTAAGACAAAAATGGTAGACTTTAAATATTATAATAAATATAAAGAATAACGAAAATCTGGAAAAAAAACAACAATTGTCAATATTTACTTCACTTAATATATGTACATGTGTATAATCAATTTCCTTGTAGGTAGACTATTAATTATGTAAGTCCATGGTATGTATACGTATTTGCTTAGATAAAACAAATTTTTTACAATAATTTAGGCAAACCAATATAGTAACTGTCATGTGTGCGTTATCGCAAAATATGCATTTTATGTAAACAATGGTTATAGATAAGAACAAAATTTTAAAGGAAATTACCATCTTGTTGTATGATTCATGATATTTGAATTAAAACCACTATCAGATATTTATCGTAATATTTGTCATACGTTCGACCAGATAAAATGATGTATTTCTTAAGATGTGTGAAGTTGGCGGCCTAGTGGCCCAACGGCCTAGCGGCGTGAAGTTGGTGGCCGGGCAGCCCAGCGGTTTGCGGAATGAAGTTGGGGGCCGGGTGGCCCAGCGGCTCGGGTCGTGAAATTGGCGGCCGGGCGGCCAAAAATTTTAATGTTGGAGACAATTTATTTAAACAATAAAACACACAGATATATATATTATATATATATTTCTTCCAACTACACAAAAAAAAAAGATAAATAATAATGTTCTATTAGTTTTTTCTTTTTATATACCTTTTTAATATCAGGAATGGTCTTAAGAACTTCATAAGTCTCGTTTTTATCATATCTATAACATTTCTACAATATCTAAATTTCTTGCTGCCAGGTCGCTAGAGAGAAAAAACCTTTCTGAAATGTGACTTTTTCCTTTTATATAACTGTTAAATGATAAGATATGTCTTTAAAAGTTAATTAAGAGTCGTAATTCAATTCTTTTTCATAACTTTTACAACATTGAAATTTTGGGCTGCCGGACTGCGAGACCGCTGGCCGCCAACTTCACAAAAATAATGATAAAATAAAAAAAATCTCAAAGTGATTTTTTCTTTTTATATATCCTTTAAATGATAAGAATTGTCTTTAGAACTTCATTAAATGCCGTTTTATTGTTAAAATATCATTTCTGCAACATTTAAATTTTTGGCCGCTGGGCCGTCCGGCCGCCAACTTCATGCCGCCAACCGCTGGGCCGCCCGACCGCCAACTTCACACCGCCAAGCCGCTTGGCCGCCAGTCCGCCAACTTCACACATCTTATTTCATAAAAAAATGCATCTTTATTTTTTTCACCCGCGTTTGATTAAAAGATCACGATGGGATATTTCATTTAAATATAGTTATTGACTGTATGATTAACCTAGAAACGTACATGTTTATTTTTTAAACACATTTACGATACCCACAAAAAGGAATTAGGAATGTCAACGAAAGATATGTGAAATGACTTCCCGAAAAGAATTATCAGCATGACAAATTCCAACTGATACAGCTTTTGTTAATCACAGTAAACATAAAACAGTAAATGCTACTTGTGTAATGCTATTTACTTAAAATGTTTAAATTTGAAGTTGAAATTACAGGATGAAAGTAAAAACGTATCCTGTGTCGATTGCAAATCAATGGAATCGTTATCAAAACCTAAACTCAAGTTAAGATGTTATAAAATGTTCTAATTAGTATATGCATAAGAAGAGAAGGAACACATGTGGGAAATCTTATTGACAATAAAACAAAAACAAAACACACACACACACACAAAATACGAGAAAAACAAATTTATGCTACTAGATGTTTTAAAGTGTTTTAATTAGTCTATGTACAAGAAGAGAAGGAACACATTTAAGAAATCTTATTGAAAAAATATTATGTCTTTGTATGACATACGCAATTTCTACAACTAACACAGCAAGAAGACTAATTAAGCGCCAAGAAGTGGATCAAAATCGTATTTGCAACAATAGTTGATTGCTTCATTAAATTAGAAATAAGATATATTTCAAAACAGAATGTATGATCCTATAAATGAAAAATCTAATATTTTTCCCGCAGGATTAGCTCGTTTACGAAGTCCTTTTAGGGTACACTAAGTTCTGTTTGAGGGTACATTAAGTTTCCAAAATATGTTGTACAGAGCGTCTCCCAGCTAACTTCGCAAACTTAAATGTCATAACTTGTCTAAGGGTATAAAGCAAGCGACTTTCAGTATTTTATTTCCTAGGTTACGGCAAGTAACTTAAAGGATATCATTAATTTCCAATATTATACTACGTCTTAGTTTTTATTTATATATCTTATCTGTTGGGAATTGAAAATAAAACAGATGAAAATAATTTTCAGTACTTACATGAACTTACATGAGTTATCATATTAAGATAAATCCAGTATATTGAATCACAGTTGATAAAATATCTCGTAAGTTATATCCAAATGCTTTCATAAAAATGTAAGAGATATGTTAAAATGTGAAGAAATATTATCAATAACATTTCAATCATCACGTTATCTACACAATAATCTTAAAACATGATGTGTCAAGTATAGGAATAACATGGTAAACAAAGAAATGGAGACATGTTCAAATATTTGAAATATTATGTTCCCGGACTGGGTCGATATCATCGTCACTCTTATCTTAAGATAAGTGTGCAACATGTGCAATATGTGGGTGATTAATAGTTGAAAAGTAGACTGTCCTTGAAAAATATTATTCCAGTCTAAGGGTGCCATTTATAACCTCTAAGACAAAATGAATGACCTTGGTAGATCCGCCTTGCAAGGACAAAGGCACGAGCGACGAGGACTATTTCAAGGGCGAGTTCGTGCATAGATAACTGCACGGCGTGTTTTTACGAGCGAAGGCTACTGCATTTGCAAGGACAACTGCATAAACAAAGACTTACGCATGCGTGAAATCTACGGTATAATCGAGACTGAATGTATAAGTAAACAATGCTGTACAAGAGAGAATTATTGAACGCGCGGATACTTCAAGAACGAGCATAGCCTCAAATGTTAAATAAAAAGAGAAAAAAAAGTTTCTTTATATACTTTTGTATTAAACATCAAACAAATAAGGTAACAATTTACAAAGAACATAGAGATTTAAAGAATATTAATTAGGAAAACGTTAAGGCATTACATTTATCAGAATTGTATGTATGATAAAAGTAGACAAAATATAAATATTTAACGCACGAAAAGGTTAGAAAAGAATAATAAAGTTAAACAAAAAAATCGATTAACTGTTCACATATTTTGTCTTATTCTCGTGTATGCACATTGAACACTTCTTGTTTGACGTTGCTCGGCTATTTTACAGATACTCGTCGTAGACAACTGACATCAGTTTTATTTCCTTGTTGGTGTGACGTGGTTTTTTTAAAAGTTTGAGGGAATTTTATATCGTTGAACACGGTATGAAGATTCTCTGTTTAAATAGACAACTTTCTGCACATTAGAGTCAGACATATCTTATTTACTACAAATGAATGACGAACACAGACTTGAGAATATTCATGCATTTATTTCTTAATGTGAACTTTTATCATGACATGATATATTTGACAATATGCGAATCAGCCTAGATGTACTAGTCAAATGTCGGATATGATTAAATAGTACCTAGACGTATAACTTGTAAAACACAATTAGTTAACATTTTTATGTGGCTAGTTGTCATGATATATAGTGGTCTAAAAGCCTAGCCAAGGTATTTTGACCAGAGTAGTTGTACATTTTGTAGAATTAAAATGTAAAAAAATTAAGATTTGCGTTTTTTCATCCACTATACAATAAATACATTAATATTGTAAAACTGTCTTCTTCATTCATTTGAATAAACAGTATTTCAGTCATATAGGCGGGTAGTTTCCTAATCATCGTTCCTGGAGAGTTACACCAGTACTAGACTACGTTCCTCCGCGCTAAACTACCAAAGCATTATCTATCGAACCCACACCATAGAGGTAACTGGATTAGAAGTCATCGACTCTGACCCCTCGACCACGGAAGCGGTTGAAAAAAATATTTATGACTCATTAAGCTTTTAAGTGGCAATGCAACAGGTTCACGACATGTATATATATTTGTTACAAAAATGAATATAAATGATTTAAACTAATTTTTATATAGTAAAAGTAATTAAAAAAATGTATACGAAAATATTTTTATATGAGTCAATCATTTTGAAGGCTGAAATTAAATAGGTAGCAATATACTGGAACTGTATCATCTATCTATCTTTACATATATTTATTTATCAATATCTATTCTTTAATATTCATCAATTTTATCTACCACTCATATCCTGATCAACCGTTTGATTATTCTAAAATTCAAACATATTTTGTGCATATTTACAAATTAATAGAAATTACATATATGTGTTGACACGTACTGTTTGTCTTAGATATTCACAATGTTTGAACAAGGAATAATGTTTTACTAAAATTAAAAGTTTGATGTAACTTGATCCTCCAAAAATCGACTATTTAACAATGTTTATAGTTGCTAACTGACAAAAGACTGACACAATGTAAGTTTCATTATATTTCCAAACTATGTCATTATTCCCTACTTGAAAAAAAAGAACTTGACGTAATTCAAGTCCTTTTTAACTGCAACTGTCTGGCATTTGTTTTATAATACTTAGCGTGCTAATTAGGATTAGTGTTTGTGATATTTGCTAAGAACTACTGTTTCTAATTTTATAACGAAAAGAATAAAATGTATTCAAATATTTGTTACATAAGTGTTTTAACAAGTACTGCTTTAGCAATGTATTTTGCAGGGTATGCACTGTTGGCTTGAAAGCTGAAAGTATTGTTATGCGTGATCGCAACGGGTGTTGGTTAGTAATGGTGTGGGGAGGCATAAGCTGGACGGACAAACAAACATCGCTGTGTTAAATTGAGGGCAAACCTCTGGTTAGCGGTACATGGATGAGATGTTAGACAGGGAGATGAAACTATCTGCTGGGGGAAGTGGGTGATAATTCATTTTATTGGACATTAAAGCGCGTCCATACAGTACCAGGATAGTCCAGGACTACCTGCAGAGAAATAAGACTGTCATAAACCGTATTAGAAGCATGAGGAACCGTTGATAAGCAGTTGTCTCTAGCAATAGGTCCAACATATGCATGTAAATATAAATGAAATTTGGAAAACAAGTTGCGGGTCCAAAGCTTATGTAAAGTCGGTAACAATGTTAAATGTTTAACTTGTCCTCCAAACAAATACTGTAATTTAAATAAAAAATTGGCATTAAATAATTTGTAGGTAAATCATTCCCGCAAATATTCGTATATTGGTGCTAAGCAAGTTGAGTCGTGTATATTGACATTGCTTCGATAAAAGTGACGTAGTTGAAGACATGATTAAGGAAAATATCTGCGTCCTAACTATGTTTGTTCTCATCACTAGTAAGTTTTAACTATTCCTCTTTCGTCATTCTGTTTGAAAATTTGCTGAATAAACTTCAGTCCAAAAAGATTAGAACATTATAAGGCCTATATGTATTATAAATAAATAAATATATTGATTTTTACATGTATTATAGATAAATAAATATATCGATAATTTTTACAATACCTACCCCACTTCCTTACAAAAGGTGGCAGCCATTTTGTGATTCGATATTCTACAAAATATGAAAATTAAATCCATACAAACAGCTAATTTACATGAATTTTACATATACATGTATATGAGGAAAAACACCTTAAGTTTTCAAAGATTTTTTTTAAATCTTTTTTCATAAAGATGATAGAATGGTATGAGAGTTTTTTTCATCATATCCTTAGCATTTGCTGTATTGTGAATAACCCACAAATGGGTGTTATTGTACGTCATAATTGCTATGTGAAAAACATTTATCTCAAACAAGTAACTGAATAAAACAATAAATATAAATGTATCATCATATCCTTAGCATTTGCTGTATTGTGAATAACCCACAAATGGGTGTTATTGTACGTCATAATTGCTATGTGAAAAACATTTATCTCAAACAAGTAACTGAATAAAACAATAAATATAAATGTACATAATTTTGATTATGAGCTCTGTAACAGCCTGAGTATATTTTATATACCCTTTAAACTATTGTGTGACATTTGAATTTATATTCAGGTTAGATTTTAGCCAGTTAGGTCTGCAATAATTGTGGTATAGGATCGGAAAGTAGCATTTACTTCAATGTCACATGACCAGTGGGACGTTATTATGAGTATGCTGTAAACTGTGTGGCAATAACACAACTGTTCAGTGGCAACATTCGATGGGTCAAGCAATTGATGGCGATATGCTTGCAGTCAAGTACGTCAAAAAATATGCAGTAAAGCATACAGAAAATTCGGTAGCCTAGATAAGTCGAAACAAATCTTTTTTTTTGCTTAAAGTATATTCTCGGGGTTTAGGAATTGAATGTTTTGCTGAAGGTATAATTTCAAGGTACTTCAACTTGTATTTAGCTTTATGTGTAATTTTGATGTGTTACAAGTGATATTTTGCAGAAGGTATATTCCTAAAGGTTTTCAATTGATGTTTTTCTGAAGATATATTTGTAAAGTTTTGAAAGGAATGTATATTTCTAGGGTTCTATTGCTAAGATTTTTTCGAAGGTGTATTTCCGAGATTTTAAAAAATTGAAATCAAAGAACATAGTAGATACCTCACGTTTTTTGACACTGACGTTCTGCTGAACGTATATTTCTAAGGATTTTGCTAAAGGTTTGTTTCTTAGCGTTTACAACATATGATACTTAAACGACTTAATACATTAACAATTTTGAATAGAATAAACCAAATGCATGCAAGTGCAATAGGAAAAAGGACAACGTTGAAAAGTAAAACTTGAGTAAAGCGGTTTAAAGGGATGTTCAGTTTTTTGTTATTCTTTCTTTCTTTCTTTCTTGCTTTCTTTCTTTCTTATACTACTTTAAGTTTAATTATGACAATCAAACTAATAATAAGTTCATAATATGTTAATGTGTCAATCGTGGCTTTATAAAGCTGTTTTCAATACAACACCACTTTAATTACATGTCCTTAATGATGTCAGCATAAGACTATATTCATAATCAATCAGTAAAACTTAAAACAATTAATTTCTACAGATTGCAATGAGTTTGAAGGGATTACGAAGGTCAATGTCAAGTGAACACAATAATGAGCGGCGGAACCAATGATGAGATTTGTCTTGAAAGTTGTCTAGAAAAAAACCCACTTGCCGAGGTGAATAAATCAAGAAAACTATGCCAAGACAATAACTTGCGGTTTTTTCCAAAGTAAAGGGACGCGTTCAGTCTTAATTCAAATGATAAAAGAGCTCCAAATTTTCTGTTTCGAGTTATGATTTTCTTCCGTGTCTCTCCTTTATCTATTATTATCTGATTTTTGTTCTCAAGTGGTGTCCATTAAATTGTAATTTTGTAGCATTTGTATAGAATTAAAGTAGACTTTGAGTTGATAAGACAGATGTTTAGAAAAGAACTGACACACTTAGATATTGCATGCATGCATACATCAAACTGACACGAAAT